TGTAAAAGGGTGAGCCAATGGCCCAACACACCATTCTATTCATCGGTTAAAACCTGCCATCTGGCTCTTTACAAAAATTTACGGAGCCTTGAGCTGCCTGTGTTATCTGAACGCTCTCTCATAATTACCTTGTCGACGCAGTAATAATCAAGGGAGGGAGCTGGCCAGAATTGATTCTCAGTAAGAAAACCGAGAAACAAAGAATCCTGGAAATTAACTGTTCGTTATCATAGTGGCATCATCACAGCTATTATTCTCCTCGAGAGTTATTGTAACGGACAACTCATGCGCGTAGCTCCAATCTTGCACATCTCACGGAGTTATATTACCTGCTATCATGTCATTGGTGATGGCCATGGTTTATTTGGAGGTGTTTTAAAAATATATTTAATATTTTAAAAATATAAAATTTATATTTTTTAATATATTTTAATAATTTAGATGTACGGATATAAAAAATAAATACAAGACAAGATAATTTTAATATAAAAAATATTATACATCACAATGCAGAGACACCTAATGAATTTCTTGAATTTTTAAATCATTATTGGTCAATAATTTAAAAAAAATTACTATGATTTTGTTTTAAAAAAAAATAATTTTTTTTTTCATAATCATAGGCGAACCAAATCTTAGATTAGTAAGTCACTTATATAAATTATAGAGTCAGATTAAATCTTATAACTATAATAGTTCCTGATTTTATTTTTTCGTTGCTATACAGAAACACATGAAACATGTTTAGGCCTACTCTACTACAATCTTTATATTTAAATCTCTGGAAAAAAAATAAATTATCTTATTCTATTGGTAAAGGGCATTAAAACAAATTCATTAAACAGTTTACAAAGATTATAAAATTTATTTTTATAGATATTCAATCACGCGTTATGTATAAGAATTTGAAACATTAGAACATTTATCGATCCAACTACATGTTGAATTTGGAATCATTGATTTACGTGATCTTTACATTATTGATGCACAATGCACGACTAAGCATGTTTTTATTTTTATCCTAAAAAGGAGCGTGTTTTATTTACTTGCATAATTAATGCACATTAACAAATTAAAAAAGTCCTTTTATTTTTTTTTATAATTAACTCCTTTTTATTTATAATCATTAAGATCTGTATGTTATCCATTTACAAGAAGATTTTATAATAAAATGTTCGGTTACAGTGTACGCTCAAATAAATTAAGAGAATTTTAAATCACAACTCTTAATTTTTATTATTATTCATTTTATTCGTATAAAAGGGTTAGGTATGTGTAATACATGAATATTAATTAAAACATGTTCATGGTTAATTAATTGACGGGCTCGGAAAATATTTAATGTAGTGCCTGATGCTAGAAAATGTATTTATAAGATTACTGGAAAAGGTAATGATCTAGATAGACATGTAAGCTAGCATGGAGAATCATTTGGCAGCATGATGTATTGTATTTTTTAAAAGTATTTTTTAATTAAAAATATATTAAAATAATATTTTATTTTTATTTTTTATATTAGCACTTGAACATCATTAAAAATTATTTTAATAATTTTTACGAGCAAAAAGCATTTTTTTTTTTACAAAGTAAAAAATTATGGTATGCAAAAAAATATACTAACTCTTATTCTATAAAAATTTCAAGAAGCAAATGTTGGAACTCGAGGGTTTATATGCTATTAGGTGACACTTAATTCAGAAACTTGTATTGAAACCCTTCACAAGTCACACATGTAGTAACCCTGTTTTGAAAAATTTATCGTTTGAAAGTGATTTGCTTCTTTGAGTGTGTTAGGAGTGTGATGAGTTGAGCTTTTTTGGTGAAATTCTAAAAAAAAAAACCAAAAAGCATGTATTTAAGCTTTTGATGAGGTGTGAAACATGCTCAATTGAGTTCCGCCTTCAGAAAACCTTAAATTAGCATTATTTTATTTTTAAACACGCTTCACCTCATTCTCAAACATACCTTTCATATATATACTATTAAAATACAGATATGTTATAAGTTAATGATCGCGTTCATGCTAGAGAAGTGAAATGAATGTAAGATAATTAAGAGTTCAGGAAAAAAAAAAAAAAAAAAGGCTACTCTTCAACACTTCTCAATAACCAAACTAACAATTTCTTCAATTTTTTATTCCTCCTTACTAGGTCAAAACTTAAAAGGTGTGAGGTTTCATTATTGAGTTGATATTATTTATATACTCATAAAATATTTATGGATATACTATGTATTTTTTAACAATTCATTTTGGTACTCAAAGGTTTATGCTATGCAGTTCAATACTATCTAAAGGTTAATTGCATTTGAATTACTAGTCAACATGGAATTGAAAAAAGAGTGACGAAATGAAAATGATGTCAAGTATTGGTGGCGTGCTAAAAATTACATGAAAAATACATTTAGATCCCTATTCTTTAAAAATAATGCAATATATACAATTCAGGTCTCCTTAATTATTATTGTTTTGAAATATATATAAGTTCATTAGTGTTATTTTTCGATCATTTAACCGAGAAAGGAGGGGACGTCAGATTTTTGCAATGGAAAAGAAAATCATCATCCACTACATTTTTTAACACCAAAATGATTTTTATTGGTATCCATTAATTCCATTATACAAGAGAGGTTTTATAATGGTTGTTAAGAGTTTCGATATTGTGTGAAAAACTATATTTAAACCGAGAAAAACAAACTAAATTTGTTTCATTTTAGGTTTTTGGATTATTTTTTAGGTATTTATAGTTGATGAAATTGTTTAATAAATGTTGCAAGAGTAGCAGCGCGGTGTTTATTTATTTAAATAAAATAACTTGAAAATTAGGTTTTTTGAACAAATGACTAGTTTCTTGATTTTCTAGTTACCATTGTGGTGGCTAGATTCTAGATTTATAAACAACATATCATATGCTCTGACGAGCGATATGCCACTTGTTTATTTTATTTTTCAATTTTTTTTTAAAAACATTTTAAAAAAAATAAGCTCACACTCGTGTTCATGGAGTCTTCGTTTTAATGGCCTAGGCGCTAGGCTATTGGTTCATAAGTTTGGGCGTCATCTTTTTTTATATAAAAAAATGAATATAAATTTTTTAAAAATATTAAATTTACTTGAGTTCATGGTCTAGATTATAAATTTATTAAGTTAAGCCACAATAACATGACTATTAGTTTTTTCTAATATTGTTTTTTTATTGATATCTTTTTATATATATCTTTTAAAAAGCCTTTTTTTTATTGCTTATTTTATTTTTCAAAAAGCCTTTTAAAACATTTTTTTAAAAATAAGCTCACATTAGTGTTCATGGAGTCTTCGTTTTAGTGGCCTAGGCGCTAGGCCACTAATGAATATAAATTTTGATATTCACACTAGTCTTTGTTTTATTGGTTCATAAGTTTAGGCGTCATCTTTTTTTATATAAAAAAATGAATATATTTTTTTTTTAAATATTAAATTTACTTGAATTCATGGTCTAGATTATAAATTTATTAAGTTAGGCCACAATAACATGACTATTAGTTTTTTCTAATATTATTTTTTATTGATATCTTTTTATATATATCTTTTTTAAAACAATCTTTAAATTTATATTTTAATCAACATCACTTATCTATAATTTTTTTATTTATGTAATTTTTTTAGATATAGATTGTTCTTTTTAATGTTGTTGTGAATATTTAATTTTTTAAAATATTATTTTGATTCATTTATAATTTTTTTTTGTATATAAGAATTTTATTTTTGAAAATAATATTTTTGATGAATGCGGAATTGCATAAAATATTTTTATTTTTATTTTTATTTAATAAATTTAATATGTGTATTCATCATTTGATTTGATAAAAAAATTATTTTAATAAATAAATTTAGTAAACACAATTAATTAAAAGTTCGGCCTTTAAATTTTAAATATCTTTATTTATATATATTTTTTAATTTTATTTTTAAAATCATTGATATATATATTTATTTATCAATATATATAATTATTTATTTATTTAATTATTTTATACATAAACTTTTTAATTTACATTTATTTTTTATGTATAAATATGTGTCAAAAAAATTGCATATATTATTTTTTTATATGGGAAAAGATTCTTGACGATGAAACAGATGCCAAATAGCTAGTAACGTAAAGTCTGACTCTTTGACGCCTTATTGGAGTGAATTTCTCGCTCAACTGTCAACACCACCTCTTCTTCTCTCCGCTCTGGCCCGATACTTCAGCGACTCCCGGTCCGAATCAAAAAACCTGCATGTGTACGTTGTTGCATAGCGCCGCCCCCACCTCTTTCTTATTAATGTTTTTTGGTTTTTTTTTGCAAGCCATTTATCTCCATCCCTACCCTAAAAACTAATTTTTTAATCATCCCAAAGCCCCCCTCCTCCCCGGGAAAGTTGCAAGGTTTTAAGAATCGTTCAGCATAAATTTGATTTAAAAAAAAATATTTTTTATATATTAATATTAAAAATATTTTTTAAAAAATAAAATAAAAAATTGTTTTGATTTATTTTTAAACATAAATATTAAAAAAAACAATTGACAACAACGTATAAAATACTAAATTAAATTTGTGGTTTGCAATTATTTAGGTTACAGCTTAAATTTGGGAAAGTGATGGGCTATATTGTGGCTGTGGTTTTTAGCTGTAAGGATAATTTTTAGCTGGATATAGTTTTTGAAGACTGCAAATTATAATTTATGAAAATAACATATAAGAGAGTATGATATTAGCTAAATCAATGATTCCCGAATGGGCACTTATTTCAATTAATTCTTTGGTTTTCCATTTTTAGTTCCTTAATTACACCATCACAAACAAATAATATCCATAAAGCTCATTAATTAATTATAATCAAATTTAATTAGATTTGGTCAGTTTTCGAGTCTCTCTCTCTCCCTCTCTCTCCGTATATACATAAACAATCCACGGATTCCTCGCTTTATGGTCTCTTTCAGTTAAATCAGAGGGGGGGAAAACAAAGCAACAAAGAAGGCAAAGGTTATGCCATAAAGAGAGCGTGCCTTTAGAGAGAGGTGAAAGATCATGCATCTCTTCTGATATAACAGCAAGCAAGAACCCTCTAGTTTTAACCTACCCTCATTGCGTATCCGTTGTGATTTCATGGTATTGTTATTTATTAATAGCTTGGTCATGAAAGCTGTGAATTGAAGGGGACGTTTTTGGTGTTTGATGTTTCCTCTCTCAATTTCTTCCACTAGTAATTGTCATGGCTGTTCAAGCACAGTTGTATCCAGAAAGACTGGGCCTTTTGCCTATGTGTGGCATACAGGATTGCTTGTTTAATAATCCAGTTTCAGGGCTTGAGCCTGGTCTTGGTGTTGTTTTTCAAGAGAATCAACAGCATAGTCTCTTTCTTGAACATCATAGCTCTCAAAACTTTGGGTTTGATTGTAATATCGGCGCTGCTGCTTCTTCTTCTACGACTCGTGATAGTTCTCTCTCCATGTCTCTTTCTCAATATTTGGACGTCCAGCTTGACATGCAAAGGCGAGAAGTTGATTGCATGCTTCAATTTCAGGTAAGAATGTAACTGGGCTTCGTTGTTTGTTCTTTTCCAAGTTCTGGTTTTGGTTTCTTTTCTGTGTGATTTTATTAAAATCAAGGTTAAATTCTAAAAACTAACGTTAATTTTCTTAATCAAATGCAGGCTGGGAGATTAAGAACTATTTTGCAACAGCAAAGGAAGCAACAGCTTGGAATCACACTTAAGAGTGTAGAATCAAAGGTCACCTCTTTGATAAGGCAAAAAGAAGAGGACTTGGCACAAGCAACAAAGAAAACCATGGAGCTTGAGGTCTGCCTGAGAAAAGTAGAGCTGGAGAGTGAACGATGTCAGAGAGCAGCAAGAGAAAAGGAAGCAATGGTCGTTGATTTAAGCAAGTCGCTTGAACAGATCAGAGGAAGACTGGTCATGGCCAGCAATGAAGTCCAAGATGCAGGGTCCTTTTGTTGTGGCACATGTGATAGAGAACAGGATCAAGAAAGCCAAAAAAGGATGGTTTGCAAAGGGTGCAATTCCAGGAGCTCGTGCATTATCTTTCTCCCTTGCAGGCACCTCTGCTCGTGCAAGTCCTGCGACGCTTTTCTTGGCTCTTGTCCTGTCTGTAAATCAGTAAAGGAAGCAAGCATGGAGGTTTTTTGGGTCTAGCAAGGAAGGCACAAGGTAATGCAGAACGGAATAACCAAAGGGTAAAATCCTTGGGAACATCACATGCTGTTCATACCTTCAGAGTCCAACATGACATGCTGTTCATACCACATGATGTTTTTGGCTTCTCGCGGTCTTTGTTTACAGATTTTTTATTTTGTACTGCTAAGACCCGTATATAAGTGAATCAAATATGATGATATCTGGTACGAGGCATGGCAAAGGATCCCTGCTTTAATCCTTTATAGATTAATTATCATTTTGCCTGATTTGGCTTTGAGCAGAAAGGAAAAACTTTCTATGTTTATTTAGATTTATTTGTTTGGTTATTTTTACTCGGAAGCAATGCCAGCTCCGCAGCAGTAACAATGTACTCTACTTTAACTGACAGAAAGATTTTGAAAGCCATGTTTGACACACATCAAGACACAAGAATTGAACTGTCACCGCCACATATGTATACGTTTTTTTCTTCCTTTTGCTTATTCCAATAAAATTATCCATTAAAGCTAGCTAGCTAGCTAAGTAAGAAACTGGCTACCTAACCAGAAATGACTGCTCTGATCTGCACACGCCTTGTCTCAGTACCGAAATTTAACCACAGAAAAATCTAGCTGTCCTCTACTTGAGAAACCAAAGGGAAGACTTATTGGGCATACCTGCGAAACAACAGAAGCTACGCGTGGCATAGCCCTCTGTGTGAAAGAAAAGAGATGGCTCAAAACTGCAGATGCGGACTTTGATGTTGGTTTTTATCTGGATCGTGGGGGTCCTACAGTGTTCTTCTGTCTACTACCAGGGAAGCAGCAGCATGATTTCTCCCATCGTAGAAAAAGAAAGGTTATTTAACATATTTTGAGAGAAGTTTTTGGTGTTCGATTTTTATTTGGTAGAGTAATATAGTTTGATACTTACATTTATTTTTATATTTTAAAAATATTTTTGAAGAATTGTTTTTCTTTATTTGGATTGATATTTTTTATGTTTTTTTTATTGATATGTTTATATTAAAAATAAATTTTGTTAAAATATAATTCAATCTATTTCTAATTAAAAAATATTTTGAAGAGTAATTATTATCACAATACTCAAATATTTATTATATAAATTAAAAATAAAAAAAATAAAGAAACAATAAAACTCAAAAAACACATTAAAACTCCAAAAATAATAGCTCTAATATTATCAAAGGATAGATTTAAAACAAATATTTTTATTGATGATAAAAGTGGATCATTTGTGTTGTTTAAAAGTAAATAAAACATTATCATTAGAAGATTTATATTTTTTTATAGTATTTTTGATATTATTTGTTGGATTATAAAATGATATGCCAGATTACAAGGTTAAATAAAATAAAATTTAAATTAATTTTTCAAATTAGAAAAGGCTAATAAACTCGAGTATAATTGAGTTTAATAGCAATAAAGATTGTTTGGTAAAACTTGTATTTTTTAAAAGTTTTTTTTAAAAGTTTTTTTGTTTAAAAAAGTATTAAGTTGGTATTTTTATTGTTTTACATGTTAATGTAAAAAAATAAAATAAAATTTTTTTGATTGATTAAAAAATAAATAAAACACACCATGTATCAAAAATTAAAACATCCATTTAAAATGCTGTGGCATTGCGATACAACAACAATAAAAGGCAAAGAACAATGTTTGGCATATACAAGATATCAAGACGTGTTTTATAAAATAGCATGTGTACTAGGTTGATAAACAAAGAGAATTTTATCTTGTATTAAAATGATAAAAGTTTTTGCTATACTTTGTAAAATAAATGACATAAAATTAATGAATTTAGATGCTGAAGGAAAATTTAAAGGGAAAAACAAAATTTATGTGCAAATACAATAACACCTATACTTGAGCATTTTGCCTAACGTAGAATAAATATTTTTTTTATTATCAAAATTAATTAATTATGAGTTGCATTCTGAATTTTATAGATATATTAATTTAAAAATGTGTCTTGAAATTCTACAAGAACATTGAAAAAATGTGCATTTAAATTATACATGTACATTGATTTTAAATTGTATTATTCCACTTATAAATATTAGTTTAATATTAACAAAAATCAGTTAGAAAACAATTTTTTTTATCTACAAACTATTTATTTATACTTATTAAAAATAAAACAAAAATTCTTAAAAAAAACTTATTTGGGTGAACTTTATCCCTGGAGTCTCTTTTTTGATATTTTCGTACTTATTTGGGTGAACGTTATTGTACCCTGGAGTCTCTTTTTTGATATTTTCGTATCTTAAAGTCTGTCGTACAACTACACACAGACTTGCGTAAAAAAAGAGGTGGTTTGGAGAGTTTTGCGCTCGTAATTGTGGGTCCCACCAGGCCTTGTCGAGGATCAGAGGACTGGAGATTGTCCCTTGATCGAGGAAGTCAGATGGCCAAATCTGGCTCGGTTGGTGCGGGCCTCGCTGGCTTTACCGATGTGTCATGCGGGTGGCGAACCATGTTGGGCATTGGTCACGTATTCCTATCATGGCCCAGCTTTTAGGTTGGTGCTGTTGCCAGCCCAACTAGCTTCCCTTGCTTGGAACTTGTTCTGTGATATGTGGGCCCTCAATGGGCCAGAAACCTGGTAAATTACAAAATGGTGTGACCATACAATTGATAGTTGATGGTAGAGGGTAGGATGGAGATACGAGGGCGAGTCATCTAAAATTAATCAAAACTAATATATTATTTAATCAACGACAAACATGTTATTATATTTCTGTGCATTCTAGGAAACATGTTGTATATTATTTAGAATATAAATAACGTTTGTTAATACAACTTGACGAGGTTCCCACGTGGAAATTATATTTAAGTTAGAGTTCGATGGAATTTCTATGTATTGCATAAAAAATATTATATAAAAAATTCAAAGAAATCTCAGTATAATAAATATTATATAAAAAATTATATTCTTTAAGAACTTGCATGGAAACATCCAAGATTTATGAGCGAAATGAACAAGAGATCGCGTTGAGATAACAAAATTACATTCTTAAAATAAACAAAGGTTTTTTTTCATAAATAAAGGAATTAATTGAAGTAATAATTTTTGTAATGAAAAATTCAAATGTCATTTGAACACTGAGAATGAAATTTTTAAATTTTAAATAAATAAAATGAAAAATAAAGAATTGCCAGATCAGAACAATATTTTAATTCTAACACCATGTGTGGAATGGCTACTGGGAATCATAACGATTGTTGGAATTTATAATCTATTTTTTATATTTTTTTCTTATATTTTTCTTTCATTTTAAATTATTGATTTTTCTTAGTAGTTAAAAAAACCCAATATAAAGAGTGTTTGTTTGAATCGAGAGTAGGGTGAGGATTTAAAAATTATCTTTTTTCATAAAAGATAAGGAGGTCTCCTCGAAGGCGCGTGGGCTCCAGTTAACATGGTTCTATTGCCACCCGTTGAAAACAGGACCACAAGATTTCAAGTTACCGGTATCGCACTCAACCCAATAGGGTGCACGCGGCTGTCAAGAATGCCCTGATCATTTCAACCCAGCATGGATGTCCGTCCCTTTTGCTTTTATATATTTTTTAAGGTTGTATATATTTTTAAAAAATACTAAATTATTGTTTTTTAAATAATTTTAATATAATAAAAATATTATATATATTTTTTAAAAAAAAATACACTTGAATAAACATCTTACACCACCATACTCTATGTGTATGTGTTTATATATATTTTATCAAATAAAAACAAACTCTAAAATAATATCGAGTTATTGTTTTGAGATTAATAAAATAAATAAATAAATAAATATATTAATTTTGTATTTTTTTATTATAAAAATTCATTTCAAATCTAAAATTTATTTTATATTTTACTATGGGGTATTAATGCCCCTAAATAATCTGATTTTTCCTTCACGACGATAAAGAGCTAAAAGATCTATGACTTTAATTCTTATTTTAAAAATAAATAATTTTGTATTTAATTGTATGAAGGCAGACGCAGATCTATGAATATAGGATGTTTTTCGAGTATTTACAGGACCTAGATCAACAGCAGGTTCTCAGAGTACATTGAAAATTTATCCCGGAGTTGCCCCTCCAGACTAAATCACTTGTTGCCGCTACTCTTCAGTTTTTTGTTAAGGCCTGTCCTGTAGAGATACCCAGATTTGATTAGTGATTGATTTTTAGGTTTTGTCGTAAATCTAATTGGTTACCTCTAATTATGTAAATCAATAGTTCAAACCGCACTCAAAGGTAGGGCATTTCCCATTTTTATAGGAATTTCTATACCAGAAATAATGACATCTATAATTATAGGCCCTCTAGGATGGAAAATATATCTTTTTTCACCGTCCTTATAATATATGAGACAAATGCATACGTTTCAATTAGTGTTGTATTTTATGGTTACAATTCTACAATATATATATTTTTCATTTCATCAAAAATCAATTTTATAGTATAAACGTTTATGACCTCTCTTTCTATGCCTTGCGGTAATGATTCCTCTAGCATTACGACCTTTACCACAACGATGCTGCCCATAGATCAAATTATTTCGTGTATTGGATTTCACTTGACTGTTCATGACTCCATTGCGTGTGCTCGATATAGAAGTTTTGTATAAATATATCGCCATGTTATTTAAGTATTTTGATTTAAGTTTTTTTATTTCTAAGAGTTGGAATAGAATAACCCAGTTGAAGCATGATGATCGCAAGTCTATAATGCATTGTATGTCCTATAATAGGTTTCATTCTTCTACCTTTCCTACGAGTCGATATCTGTTACCTCGACACTAAATAAGAGATTCGATCCAATGCTTTGTTTTTATCCTAGTTGATCCTAATTTAACATTAGAAGTATATTAATTTTTCAACAATAACCAAAGACTTTTATCAATAATAACTACTGTATATTTAATTTCATTCATAACTTTTTTTAATGAGTGTTAGTCTCAATAAAAATTAAAAACTATTTATATGTTATGATATGAACTTGGTTTGAGAGAAAAAGATAAAATATAAGATGATTCATCTTATATCTTATTTTTTTTGTCAAACTAAAATATCTTTTTATTTTTTAATATATTTTTTCAGACATTAGTTAATTGTAATTGAAACCCTTGTCATAACTGTAAATCTAACTTTATATTAACTTGGAAAATATAAATCTTGATATAAATTAAATTTTTAATTGAAAATATTAATTTAGTAAAGTTTATTGATTGAGTTAAGTTTTTAATAACTTAAATAACTTAATAAATCTAA